GGTCGGCTTTCTTGATACCACTGTCGAAACCAACGCAAGGCGCATGGCCCGCAGCTGCATCCTGGCATTACGAAGCGGTCGCATCGACTTAGCCACAGAGCCGACTAGTTTATTAATTACTGCATGAAATATTAATTGCACATTTGTTATTTTGGTCTGGACACGTACACTGGTAACTCAACAATCTGGCAGTCCTGGTACTGATTAAGAGCGCGCGCAAATCATACTAACTTTGTTTGAACTGTATCCTCACTGTGTTGTGAATTATAGCTGTGATGTTGACTTCGTTGTTCTTTTTTATGTCATTTTAAAAAAATAATTGCTCACCTTTATTTGTGTCTTCCACTTGAAAAAAAAATTTTTTCAGCATGCTAAAAGTAAAGCTGTATGAGCAAAAATTTTCAAAAAGAGTGGCTGCATGATGACATAATTAAAGACTGGGTGATGGCAGTTCCTGGTGGATACGACAAAGGCTAGTTGTGAGTACTACAAGCGTGAAATTAAAGCGAAAAAACAAACAAACAAGACTTAAAGAGTCACGCAGAGACTAACAAGCATAAAACTTCGGTTATAAGGACTTATAAAAAAAAATGTAGAGAACCACTTGAGATAGCGCTGTCAAGATTTCCTTGTCTCATTATTCAAGCAACTGAAACAGGGACTTCCTGAAAATCTAGATGTATTGAAAAATATTTCACTCTTTTCTGTGTGTTACATATTTCAGCTAGTAAAGGACACACCTAAATATTGTAAAGTTCTGAAATTGTTAAGGGCTACTGAAAATAGTTTGGCGGAAGCAGAATGTTAATTAACCAAAATAAACTTTGTTGACTGGACAAACAAAACAAAAACTGAAGCGTTTTAGAATGAATTGAGACAATTTAAAGATGCCTCATGAAACAGTCCATTCTGTAAGCTCTTTGAATGTGTCATGTCTGTCATGATACTATCCCATTCAAATACTGAAGTAGAAAAAGATTTCAGTGCTATGAATTATATCAAATATGACCTAAGAAATAGGATGAAACTTGACTTCTTAAATGCTATCTTGACAATAAAATTTGGCCTGATGAGATTAGGAAAATGCTGTTTAACTTATCAGCTCCCTGATTTTGTATTAAAAGAGACATTTTTGATCTGAAGCCTTAACTTCATCATCCAAGCTACCTTTATCCTGTGGATCTTGTGAAACAGGCATCAGTGAAGATAATGACATGATTCTATAGGATCAGTCACATCAATCATCATCGTCGTCATCAGGTGCCTTGCCGACTGGCGTGGGCGATCATGCCTCTCCATAATCTGCGATCTCCTGCAGCATGTGTGCCGACACACCTCCATGCCATGCAACAAGACTGTCAAGCATCTTCTCTCGTTGTCTTCCTCTATCTCTCCTTCCACATATTTTTCCAGTGGTCACAACATGTTTTTTTTTCCCCTCTTCTCATAACATGGCCAAAAAATGATGACTGCCTCCTTCTGATGTCTGTTATTTTGAGGCAGGATTTTCTTGGGATAGTACAGCGGTGGTTTCCCCTTGCCTTCCGCCGGTTTGTATATGGTTTGTCTAAAGAGACTTATCCTGCAAGGCAGCAGGGGGGAGAGGTTATGGCGCCTCTTACCCGCCGATGGCCATGTCGTCGAGTTTTGAGGTATTTTATAGAGTTAACTGTCCCACCAACTAACTCGCCTCCTCTCAATGACCATCACCTGTTTTGGTCCACGGCCACTTATTCAATATATTCGTGGCTAACCTCTATTATCTAGAGACCTTTCCACCATCCGCGTCATATCAATAGCTATGTAATTTGTGACTGTTTCATTTGGATGTTATTTATAGATTTTTCCCTGCGCAAATCTAGATATGTCTAGATTTTTTGACCCATATCTAGATGTTTTATGTCATAGAAAAGTGGCAACACTGGTGAAAAGCAGTGTTGCCACTTTGAATGTGTTTAACATCCAGATTTAGATGTTTTCCCTTGCATTTAGATGGCGTTTTTGACGTTTAGATGATAGATGGTTTTCTAGATCTTTGTCATTTTGAGTGAATTTATAAAATCTAACCTAAGAAACAGGATGAAATTTGACCTCTTAAATGCTATCTTGACAATAAAATTCGGCCTGATAAGAGTAGGAAAAAAGCTGTTCCACTTATCAGCTCCCTGATTGTGTATGTATTAAAAGAAATTGAAACAGCTAAAGCATGCCAAAGTCATTTTGAATCTGAAGCTTCAATTTTATTATCCAAGCTAAGTTTATCCTATGGATCTTGTGAGGCAGACTTCAGTTAATTAAGATGAGGTCATGAACCTTTAGCTATGTAATTTGTGACTCTTTCCATTTGGATGTTTTTCTAGATGTTTTCCACGCAGATTTAGTTGTTTTTAGATATTTTCGACTCCGTTTTGAATGTTTTTTGTCAAACATAAGTGGCAACACTGGTGAATAGCAATGTTGCCAATTTGGATATTTTATATCCAAATTTAGATCTTTTTCATTGCATTTAGATACTGTTTTTGACGTTTAGATCGTAAATATTTTTCTAGAGTCTTTTCATATGGAGTTAGATATTTTATAGATTTTTTTTTCTTTCATTGTCAATTTAATAATTACTGTGTAAAATATTTACTACAATATTTTTGTTTTGGTCTGGCACGTACATTGTGACAACTGAAATTACTTGAACTTTGAACTCTCACTGGGATCAACGCACAAATATCTGGCAGCCCCGGTACTGATTAATAAAAACGCGCGTAAATCATACTAACTTTGTTTCAACCGTATCCCCACTGTGCTGACTTTGAGTTTCTTTTTCATGTGATAAGAAAAAAAAAATTGCTCACCTTCTTATGTGGCTTTCACTTTGAAAAAAAAAACTTTCAACATGCCAAAAGTAAGTATGAGCAAAAAATTTGGAAAGAGTGGTTGCATGATGACAAAATTAAAAACTGGGGATATGACCAAAGGTTATGGTAAGTACTGCAAGTGTGAAATTAAAGCGAAAATACAAAACTCAAAGAGTCATGCAGAGACTAAAAAAGCATAAAACTACATTTTCATTTAAAGATATTACACCGTTGACATCTGTTTTCATAACTATACTGATAAACGAATCATCAAAAGTTGAAGTATCAGTCGCAATGTTTTTAATTTGTCAATGCGCAATTTCAAACTGTGACCATTTGATCGATTTGTAAAAAATCTTGGACTAGTTCAATTTGAAAAGTGTGATGTAGAAAGTATAGTTTAGGAACTGAAGGACCTTTTAATCAGCAAACAGTTAGGCTTGAAGAATTTGGCTGTAATTGGTACTTATAATGCCTCAGTGATGGTTGGTATAAACAATGGCGTTTATGCCAAGTTGAAGAAAGCTAACCCATCGTTGATTCGATTTTTTTCAAGAACCGACATCACAGCACTCAGGGCATTCCCATAAGCGCTCCGTCAGCATCTTCAGCAGCCAGCGAAGAGTTCCGATACTAATGGTGGCAGTAGCTTTCTGATTAAACGTCCGTCTTGCCTTTCCTCTGAGCCTTGAGCTTCTGCCAGAACCTCTCGTCACCCCCAACTGCATCAACCCATCGTTAATACTTATAAAATGTATGCGTCATTCATTGCAGCTAGCATTATCACATGCTTCATCTAAATATTTACCAAGGAATTTGGAATACCTTATTGCTGAAACACTTTACTGGTTTTCCAAATCATTTGTCAGTCAACAGCAATACAATACATTATATACAGCGTTGAATGATGGTTCCACACCACCAAAAATTCTGTCAGATTGCAAAACTAGATGGTTATCAGTTTAACCAGCTGTTGAAAGAATTATGAAGCAATGGCTGAAGTTGAAGACACTTTGAAATAACAAGACAAAGTGAAAAGTGCTACACAGCTGAAATACTATATGGAATGTACAGTGGTGAAAGAAATTTGTCATTCATTCTCTTTTTATAACCTATTCTAATGGAAGTGCAAAAAGTTAATAAACTGTTCGAATCTAAACTTGTTGATAAAGTTAAATTACTTGATGATCTCACCTTGCTATTTCACTCGGTAAAAGACTGGTGTTGCCAACTTCTAAAGCTGATTTGCTCACTTGCACTATAGAGAGCTATTTGGCTCCTAAGCCACACCTTGGATATTAAATCACATCAAAAATTGATGATTTAAAAACAAAAGGACTGTTAACAGAGAATGAATAGAACAACTTAAGAAAACGCTGTCAATATTTCGTTATCTCATTATTGAAACAGAGACTTCCTGAAAATCTAGATGTTTTGAAAAATATTTCACTTTTTTTTTCTGTGAGCAACATACTTCAGCCAATAAAGTACATACCTAAATATTATAAAGTTATGAAATTTTTAGGGGCTACTGATAATAGTGTCGCGGAAGCAGAATATCAGTTAACCAAAATAAAGTTAGCTGAAAGGACAAACAAAACAGAAACTAAAGCGTTCTGGAGTGAAGTGAGACAATTTAAAGATGCCTCATCAAACAGTCCATTCTGTAAGCTCTTTAAAGTGCCATGTCTGCCATGATACTACCCCACTCAAATGCTGACGTAGAAAGAGTTTTCAGTGCTATATCAAATCTAACCTAAAAAACAGGATGAAATTTGACCTCTTGAATGCTATCGTGCAATTAAAATTCACCCTGATGAGACTAGAGAAATAAGCCTGCTGTTCTACTTATAAAGAAATTTGAACAGCTAAAGCATACCAGGGTCATTTTTTATCTGAAGCTTCAACTTCATTATCCAAGCTAAGTTTATCTTGTGAGTCAGATATCAGTGAAGGTGAGGACATGATTATGCAGGGTAAGTCATAACAAAAGCTATGTAATTTTTGACTTTTTTAATTTGGATGTTTTTTCTAGATCTTTTCCACGGAGATTTAGATCTTTTTAGATATTTTTTGACACCGTTTTCGATATTTTTTGTCAAAGAAAAGTGGCAACACTGGTGAATAGAGTCCAATGAGGAAATTCTGACGATGGCGGCGTCTAGGGAAGTACGATTGCTACGGTCATGTTTATGTTACTTGTTTACTTGCCTAATAGTAACAGATTCGATCAATTTGGATGCTAAGTTTTCTGTTATTAAGAGAGGAAATACAAACAGTGCAAACACTTATTTTGGATTTTCAGTTGCACAGCACCAGGTTTTAAGTGAACCGGTTACCCCAGCAAGCACAGTTATAGAAAATGTGTGAGTAGATTTAAGCTTTAAGTTTACCTTCTATATGGTACTATACCAGTCAGTAACTGATATTTTATTAGGGTGTTTTTGTTTTGTTTATTAAAACATATTGAAATAGTAACTCTGTCATCATTAGGTATAAAAGTATTATATTAATTAAAAATATAGCGTAAGTCAAACCACATTGCACGATAAGTTATCTGTTTCGTTTCCCATCGTTCTACTTCAATCGTCGATATTTGAGGACAGATGACAAAGCCTTTGTCAAAGGTAGTGAGTAAAAAGGACATGAAGCGATAAAAAACACCTGTCATCTCCAGTACCAACTTTCAGGGTATACCGCATGAGTTCGTTTCTCTCTTTCTTTCTGTTTTCCCCCCTTTCTTATAATATAAGTTGTAGTTATATTCTAGCGGTAAAATCACAACAGGTAGTATTATTCTAGTAATATTTATTAGTTTGTTGTTGTTGCTGAAATTAAATATTAAATATTGATTTCTGCCCTGTGTGATAATAGATAATAATATATTAATTAACTGAATAAGCATTATCATAGCAGTTAAAACAACGAAGAAGAGAACTCACCACCCCCACCTTGGCTTAGAATATAATAATATTTGAAATGACAGCTACAAATTTAATTTAATGCCATAATACGTAAATAGATATATGATATATCTGCTATCATCATCATAAACAATTTCTGCCGTTAAGCGACGTGGGGAGGAATAATTTACGATCCAGTGCACGTTGGCTGCCACTGGCTATTGTCATGCCGTGAAGGCCTAGAGTGTCTTTAATGTTGTTGATCTATGTTTTTTGCTGCCGTCCTCTTGCTCTTGTAGCTGATCTTCTGAGATGTAGTGCTTGTGATGGTATTTGATCTGCTATGTATATCTGCTATCATATTACCTTTATGTTGTCTCATACTTTAGAGAATGCATACGCTGTTGACTCTTCAAAGTCTACCGTTTCAACTCATTTCTTACTAAGCAGCACCATTTTGGGAAGGAAAATAACAATAGATGCACTGCCTCCCTGACAAGCAGGTCATAAAAAAAAAAGACAACTCATTTGGGATTTTCTCCCCAAAGACATAGTTGTATCTGCCCAAGCGGTGAGTAACTAGCGACCTGCATATATTTGGGCCAGATCTGTAAAATTAAAATCAATGTGCATGCAATATGAAAAGCCCTTTTGCATGTCACACATACACTCCTATACCTGAGAGCACTTTTTTCCTTGTTAGCTAATACCTGGGGACAACATATATTTTCAAAAGTCTGCTACAAACCCTGTACTTTATAATAGTCTTCTGAGCATTCATTGGCTGTAAACAGTGGACAGTTATTGTTGTTAGTCCACATCTGGACTTTGATCATGTTTTAGAACTTGTGTTTTGCTTGCACATCTGTTTTACAAATCTTGCTTACTTATATGCAAACTGTTGGTTTCTCACCTCTTAGGCAGATGAACTCTAACAATGACACCCCTTTTCCTATACAACATGTTTGTGTGTGTATTCCACCTCTCCCCAACCCCCAGAATAGGACCCCAGAACCCACACAGGACTTTATAATAGGTATTTCTGAAGAGTTGATTATAATTAATAAACATTAGAATCACATTCTAAAGTTGGGACAGGGGGGTTGCAGCACAGACCCCTTACAAGTTGTTCCTGTTTCTTCCCAGAAAATTATGGGAATTATCTGGCATCAGTTTTTAGGATTTTGTGTGTGCTTGACCCCAAAGGCAGAAAAAATAATCCTACCACTTCTGTGGATTGAACCCAGACCACTGTCTTGGCAGAGAAGTGGCACTAATCATAAAGAATATTAATGTATCTGATAGGCTGGGGAGAATTCAGATAGGAATTCAGAAAAATCTGAGCTAAAAAATGTATGTTACAACAAACTGTATTGACTTTTAATGTTCATTTATGTTTATTTTTTTGCCACCATACTTCTGTGTAGTTCCCTCAAATTCTAACTGCTACAAAACCTTGTTCTCATGTAGTCGAGTGATGCAAACTTAAGTTAATATTAGCATTGAGTCAGTCAGCAAAAAACACAGTGCAACTGGTCAGTTTTACAAGATCACAACTAAAATGACAGGATGTGTGTTACAGCTAAAAAAAACTTTATCGGCAGACACACGTGCTATGCTAGCATTGATATATCAGTGTAAAAAACAGTGCTTGTATTCTGAAGTACCTTTGATGTGTTTGTTCACTTGCTTTAAGCAAACTAGTCTCATATTTATTAAACTGGCTGGTACTTGACGAGTTTGTATGAAAAAATCAAACAATCTGGTTATATAAGCTTCTAAAACACAGGTCACGCACAGTAGCTGGTGAATGCTCTAGTTATCAAGTGACATTTCATAGATGCACACATATTTTTACTTGTCTACTAGGTCCATATCATTTTATGTGCATAAATAACATTGAAAATATGTAGCTATCATAACCGTTATGGAGCTTCTGCTGCCATAGTGGAGAACTGTATCCCTCCCCCCCCCCCCCCTTTTCTCCATTGTTTATTCCAAATCCAGTTAAAATCTTCTTTTTCAAAAAATGGAATATTAACTTTATGCCCAAAAGGGAAACTTAGAATAGATCCACCGTCCCCCTAACAAGCATGCTATAGAAGGTGACTGATTAGAGGTGTTTCTTTCAAAGTCAGCATGCACCTGCCTGAGAGGCAAGGAAGCGACAATCTGCATATAAGTAAGCTACATCTGTAAATGGAGGTGCAGCAAAACTTATTCTCAAACAAGACCAGCTAAGAACACAAGGGAACAAACAACCAGAAATGTCAGCTGCAGGTTATGGCCGATGAATGCTAAAAAGAAGAAGAATACTTAAAATATTTACTGTGCTCAGACTTTTTAAAAAATTGTAATTGCAGTATTTTCACTAGTTTGTTTTAGGTCGCATTGCAAACTGTAGTTGTTATTGTATTAATGCAGTGGCTAGTGCAGTTGCTTCTGGCCTTGCATTCAAATCCACTCCTAGGCAGGATTTTTTTTTCTTCTTATATTAACCCGTGTATTCAGGTTGGTCCTGCCGAAAAAGTTGTTACCAGGAAATTTTGTGAAAGTGAGGGCACCCATCGTAATATTGACTTTACCCGTTGGATGCCAAATAGTCTAAAAATACCACCTCATTAGCTCAGTAAACCTCAGGAGGTGAAATAGGATACTGAAAAGAAAAAAAAAATCTCAACAGATTCGTTTTTAAAGCTCATGTTGGTCTTGTGAAGATATTTTGATTTCAGCTTTGAGATAGAAACTAGCTTTAACATATTCATCTTTGAGACTCATTGTGAATTTGTTCATTTCTGTTTACATCATAAATTTTGCTTAACTCCTCTTGCCAGATCCAGTTTGTTACACTAATCAGCACTGTTCTAGTTGTTACCTTAACTCTTTCTCTCCCACAGTGCTGTTAAAGTCATTCTGACCCACTCATTTATTGCTGAAAGTAAAAACCTTCTAGAAGGGAATCATCATCATGTAGCAGGTCCTTTGCAGAGCATCAGCTTCACCATGGTGCCAGAAAGGAAAACTCGGTTTCTCACCAGCTCTCCTTCCTCGTGCACTTTCCTACCCAGGGTGTTACTTATATCATGTGCCCATCTTTGTGCTGGTCGGACCCCACCCTCTTTCCTGATACCATGCTTTCTGTCATTATTGTTTCAGTCCGCCGTGACGCATGATCTGGTAAAAATAAATTCATTTTCCCAGATAAGATACTCTAGAAGACAATAGCAAAGTAAAAGACCCCTTTTTTTATGCCGTTGGGCATATAGGGCTAGACCTATATTTTATAGACCAATGGGCACTGTGTGGATTTTGTAGTCAGCATCGTCCCAGCTACTTTTACTTCCTGTTACTGAACCTGGTACCCACTCAAGGCTGGGTCGATCTGAGAGCCAAGATCACTGTAGAAGAGAATAGGTTAAATTATATCTACCTGGTACTGAAAGAGTTTAGAGACAGCTCATGATGCAGCCCTTGTTGCCAGGGCTTTTGGAAAGTAGTGTAACAGCAACAGCTAGTTTGTTGCCGCATACTTCACTCACATGTGATGGTTTTGGAAAGTAGTGTAACAGCAACAGCTAGTTTGTTGCCGCATACTTCACTCACATGTGATGGTTTTGGAAAGTAGTGTAACAGCAACAGCTAGTTTGTTGCCGCATACTTCACTCACATGTGATGGTTTTGGAAAGTAGTGTAACAGCAACAGCTAGTTTGTCACCACATATTTCACTCAAATGTGATGGTTTTGGAAAGTAGTGTAACAGCAATAGCTAGTAGTTACTGAAAACACAGTTCAGTTCATATGTCTTGGGAAGAAGTGTAACAGCACTAGGTATTAAATGTTTACAACACACTTCGGTTCAAATATAATGATATGAATCACTATTTTGCTAAAACGTGTCTAGTTGCTGGAGTGTCAGGATGTTGTGTCCTGTGATGAGTCAAAGGTGTAGATAAAAGTGATCACCCAGCAATCATTTCCACTTAAAAACTCTTCAAGTGAGGGAGTGGCTGTCACATTATTTCCTTTCTGGTACAACAATTTGACAAATTAAAAGCAGATTTTATGTGACATGTGGAAACACTGAATTGTTCATGAGCTGGATGATCATATTTTAGAGTAGCTTGCATGAATATATCCTGCTAAGTACTGGACAGTTAAGTGGTGAGATGCATGACTCAGTAAGATGTTTATTCAACTCATTCTTTTACAGGAAGTAATTACTTTAAAGAAATCATAATTTTGGTGAAAAGGCATGCAAGAAATAACTCTTTAGAAGGAAGAAAGTTAAAGTAAATAAGGAAACACATTTTTAAAGTAAAAGTCTGGGAATGGGTCACACTGGTCAGAAATTCAAAGTACCAGAAAGGTATATATAAAGTGTTTAGTCATTTAATTAGAAGCTGTGCATCTGCTATGCTGCTTGGAGTAGAATGAGTTAAGTATATGTAGCCCATAATGCCCG